AGCTCCATCGGGGGACCGGGGTGGCTGATTTTTAGCTGGCTGCTAAATGTTAACCCTTTCCCATTTCAGGAGGGGCAGAAAGAAATTGAACCCACCCTGGAGGCTCTGGATAAGCACGTGTCTGCCTGCAGCCTGTTGCCAGGCCTCTCAAAGCACAGGGTGTGCAGGCTGGGACTGTTAGGAGGGGTGGATACCAAACACTGGCCCCCATCCCCTCCCCTCTGCCCCTGCACAGCTAACTCCCCACTGCTCCCATCCCACTGCTATGACCACCCTCCACACAATGCTGAAACATAGCTGAAGTAACCTTGTGTTTCCTTCCCCAGAAGGAAGAGTTTGCCACCTGGCTTCACCCTGGAAGAGATCTGCATGCTCAGTGAGTGCCGAGCACCAGCACCCCTGGTGCTGGTAGTGGTTGATCACTTGGGGGTTTATCACTTGGGGGTTTGGGTTCACATCAAGGTGACTACAAGCTGGTCTTCGGGTAACTCTATTTTCTTTTCTCTAGAGCAAAGAGACCGAGGCAGCACTACAAGTCTGAGCAGCGACTTCTCCCTGGGGATGGAGAGCTCCCCTGGAGCAGCTGGGAGCTTCACCTATGAAGCGGTGGAGCTGATGCCAGCAGGAGCACAGGCTCAAGCAGCATGGTGAGGAGATAACCGCTCAGTGGGCTGCAGAGCAAAAGGGGCAGGCACTGAGCACGGCAGAAAAGGTCTTTCTGAAGTCTCTGACCCTCCAGGTCTGCTCTCTGTGGCTTGGGTTCCTTACAGCGGAGTGAGGAATATGGCTGTCAGAGGCTTTGCTGCAAAAATTGGGGACCACCCCATGTTAAAGCCTTGTCAGCTTCTGTGGGGATGCTCCTGAAATTTGTCCCCTGATGAAAGTAAGGCAGCTTTGCTTCATTTTTCCCAGCTCCGCTGTTAAACTTCATCCAGAATGGATTTCATTACTTTCAAGAGATGGTTCCAAACTACCAGAAAAATGACGTTTGGTAGCAGCCTCTTCATGGAAACAAAGTGGAGACAAAGTTGAGCTGCCCTAAAATGAAACTTAGTTGGTTTGTGGAAGAGATCGTACAGGGAGGTGTCTGCAGTTAGTGGAAGGTGGGCTGGGTGGCCTAGAATCCCCTCCAAACTTTAGCCTCTCCAGCAGCACAAGGTGTGTGAGCTGAGAGCAGGTTGCTGCCTGCAGGTACTTCTGGAGGAGAGTATTAAATTCTCGGTGCTCCCTGGTGACAGAGGGTCACACAGGACCCGCCTGGGGATGCAGGTCGCCGTCTGGAAGCAAGGACCAGGGAAGGTGTCTGCTGCTCTGGGACGGGCGTTGTGCTTGCTTGTGGAGCTTCTGGTGCTGTTTGGGGATTTCAGAACCTTGCTGTAGGGTTGCCCCTCTCAGTTTAATTTTTCTCTCCTCTCCCTCAGCACATGTGGAGATGCTATTTTATATTGCAATTATTTTAAATTAAATCTGGGTTGTGCTGGAGGCAGTTGGAAGTCCTCTGGGATTAAGCCTGCAGCCATGCTAGTGGCAGGCGGCTCCTTGGGGCACCAGCCTCTCTAAAGCACATTAAGATTCAATTTATAAAATGCTGAAGAGGGGAAGAGACAATCTTCCTGCAGAGTCACAAAATGGAGATGGGGAGTCCCAAACTGCGTTTGCCAAGTGATCAGCGCAGAGTCCTCTCTAACACACAGAGCCTGCCTATTCACAGCAAAGTGACTGCAGCAAGAAGAGAACAACTTCCCACTTGCCTGGCTGTAGGGGAGTAAACTGGGAGCATTTACATTGCTCTGAGTGCTCAGGACATGCAGATTAGATCCTGCAGCACAAAACCTACACGTGATTTTCACAAGATGTGAAGTGTCCAAGGCATGCGGGAAGAGATCTGCTGCACTTGTGAGTACCAGGGCATGATTTTGTGAGGCGTTTCCTAGCTCTGGTTGGCTTTCATTCCTGTTGGAGGCATCAGCCTGTGTTGGCGTTAGTTGCTGCTACCACGGTGATGGTTCAGGCCCACTCTGTGGGCATGAGCTTTGGGAAGGGAACAGGTATGGTTGCTACAAGCTGGGTGAGCTGGGCCCTGCATAGTGTGAGAGAGGAGAGGAGGGGATGTCCTTCCTTGTGTTGTCCCAAAAACAGGGGGCCTCAAGGTCTCCTTGCAGGAAGACGCATTTGGTTTTTAGCTGCACACGCCTGTTTTCTGCAGGCTGTGCTTGGAGATGTTGGCAGCTATGATAGCATGAGATAAATACTGCTGGAGAGAGGCTGTGGTGTGATGTTTGAGGGTGGACACCCTTCAAGAAGTGAAGAGAGGATATCGTGCTTCCCACTGTACAATGAGCTTGTACTTTAGCTGCACCTGCTGACAGTGCTCGAGATCTCAGTCAAAGCTGAGGTGCTCTTCCAGCATCTTTGCTCCTTGAGTTTGTGTGCTTTAGACTTTTCCTTTTCAGTTGTGCGCCTAGGGAGCTCTTTGTCCAGTTCAGTGTGGTTTTAGAAGGGGAAAATTCTTGGGACTCTTTCCAGGAAAAAGAAAAATCTGAGGTAAGAAAAAGTCTTCTGAACGTGGAGCAGCAGTGATGTGAATTAGTCCCAGATATGTGTGCCTGTTTGGCCTGTAGCTGGATGGTACTGTAAGCTAAGCCTGATGCAGCAGTGGACAGTGAATCACGCCTGAATCTAGAAAAGCAGCCAGAGCAGTTCAGAGCTGGCAGCAGTGACAGGGAGAAGACTGAAATGCATCTGCATCTGGAGCGACTGTCAGCTCTGAGCGAGTGCTCGCAAGTGTAGTCAGTGGTGTCTGAAAGAAATCACTAAAAGGGAAAATAACCCTGGCGTTGTGTCCCTGTCACCCTCATCAGCGCGCACGAACGCCCACCTGGGCTGAGCTCCTTGGCTGAGCCGCTCTGCGGAGTTGAGAGCAGATTGAAATGGTCTTTCCCTGCTGGGAGGCCCCTTGCTTGAGGCATTTTTTACAGCTAGACTAAACAAAGCAATCGCTGTGTGTGTGTGGGCTAATGCATTCTCCTGTCACGTGGCTGGTGAGCTAGAAAAGAAAGGGCTAAGATGGGTTGAGCTCAGTGTACCCCTGTTATTGAGCGGTTATCCCTGACGCATGGTTCCTTCGGAGGGATTTTTTCAGGAGCAAGCACTTGGGGTAAATCCAGCCCATTGTGGAAAGGTTTCCCAGTTGTACGTGGGAAAGGCAGCTTTCTCACTCAGATCCCAGATTTGAGACCGCATCTGGAATATTGCGTCCAGTTCTGGGCCCCTCAGTTCAAGAAGGACAGGAACTGCTGGAGAGAGTCCAGCATAGGGCTACAAAGATGATCAAGGGAGTGGAGCATCTCCCTTCTGAGGAGCGGCTGAGGGAGCTGGGGCTCTTTAGTTTGCAGAAGAGGAGACTGAGGGGAGACCTCATTCATGTTTATAAATATTTAAAGGGTGAGTGTCACGAGGATGGAGCCAGGCTCTTCTCGGTGACAAACAATGATAGGACAAGGGGTAACGGACACAAACTGGAACACAGGAGGTTCCACTTCAATTGGAGAAGAAACTTCTTCTCAGTGAGGGTGACAGAGCCCTGGCCCAGGCTGCCCAGAGAGGCTGTGGAGTCTCCTTCTCTGCAGACATTCAAAACCCGCCTGGACGCCTTCCTGTGTAACCTCATCTGGGTGTTCCTGCTCCGGCAGGGGGATTGGACTGGATGAGCTTTGGAGGTCCCTTCCAATCCCTAACGTTCTGTGATTCTGTGATCCTTCATTCCACAGGAGGAAGAGCTGTGCATCATCACCGCAAGCCGTGCTCTGGAGCAGGGCACAGCAGTCTGAAGACAGGCTGCCTTCCACGGGGATGGTCGAAGTGAAGTCCTCCAGCTCCTCCTCATCCACCCATTCTGATAACTTCCTGAGGATTGGAAGCAGCCCACTGGAAGTGCCCAGATCCAGGTGAGATGGGGCAGAGTAGAGCTATTTCTCTGCAAAACAAGTGTCTGGTAAAGGGAGCACAGGGCTGCGCTTGCATTGTTCTGAGGACCGTGGAGCACATGAGTTTGTATCTACAAAGGGGCCTCAGGAGGGCTGTTCCTCTCTAGGCTGACCTTGTGTGAAATGGTGACCATTAAACACAGAACCTCCTGCCTCAGCCCACTTAGAGGAGCGAGGGACTGTGCCAGTAACAGCTCAGTGTTTGTTCTGCCTGTCCTCAGTGCATGCCTCAACTCCACGAGCTCTGGCATCTCTGCATCCTGCACGCTTAGAGCTCACAGCACTTTCTCTGTCAAATGCATCCACGGGGGTTTGAAATGGCTGCGCTGTGTGGGGGAGGAAGCCTTTCAAACCACACAGACCTCGCTCTGCATCTTTCCTGTCCCCGTTTCCACCTGCTGACCTTCCCGACACCGCAGGGGTGGAAAAACTCTGGGTGCTGGTGGCAAGCAGAGGTAGAATCTGCTGGGAGCAAGCTGAGAGCGCTGTGCCGGTGCAAAGGATTTCACCCGGAAGGCCGTGCGTTCCTGCTGGGCAACTGGGGAACAAGGACCCTGGACCGGAGCCTAATCTCATGCCATGACAAAGGATCTTCTGGCACCCTTCTGGAGCCGGGTGCTGTGGTAGGGCAAAGCAGAGTAGGGAGCGAGGCCAGGGAAGAAAGAACAGAGCCTGTGGAGCAAACGCCATGTGCTTAGGCCAACAGGGGATAAAGAGCCTCTTAGATAAGAGGTTGCTGTTAACAGCATCAAACGCTTGTGTAGTCTCTGCAGGTTTTCCGATGAGTCTTTTTCCAGTGATTCCCTTCAGGAGCAGCCACCAGCCAAATTTTAGTACTCCCTTATCACATGGAAAATAAAATGACAAACAAGTAAAGCATTGAAAATTTATGAGACTTTCTTAGCAAGTTTCTCGATTCCAGAGAAAATCTGTCTGACGGTTTTCATAAATGATGCGAACTGCTCTCCCCAGGGAAAGAAAGAGATCAATTGGATGTTTCTGAGTTGTTGCTGGGACACACCTCTCCATTCTCTGTAAGATCAAACAAATTCCCCAAGAGGAGGAGAAAAAGCAGCTTGTCTTGGGGGCTGCTTTTGTTCACGGTGGCAATGCCACAGCTCCTGTGTGTGGTCTCATGCCATTCCTGAGCCCTACCAGAGGCTGTTCATTGCGGGGCTGGCAGCGAGCTCGCAGCAGCGCTGTGGAAAAAGCTGTTT